CATTTGATGCAAGAGGAAACACGAGGTTTTCAAGACAATGTGTGAGCTGGCAATAGAAATTGTCGAAAATTTGGAAAACTGTGAACAACTTGGAGTCTTTAAACAGTTAGATGTTTTCCCAGAAGTAGTTAAACTATGAAGCAGGAAAGTTTCAGTTAGTTGGTGAAAAGAAACTTCTAGAAATCTACACCATCAAGATTGTTGCGACCCAAGAGACAGAAGTTGGAAGTATACCTTGCTGATAATAATAGTACCCCAGGTGAAAGTTACTGTCAGATAGGATTCCTGACCCACCTTGTTTGAATAAAGAATCTTATATTGTGGAAGTGGGTAGCTATGTAGCACATGTCTGCAGGGAGTGATAAGGGTGTATTTGGTTTTATAAGGCTGATCTTTGTTGTATCAGCTGGTTAAAGTGAAATTTTCCTTTCCATTTGAAGAAACATTTGCTTGTTAATTCCTGTGCCATTTCTGTTGATTCTGATTGGTATTAAAATAAAAAAAGTTAGAAGAAGTTAAATTGTGTGCTAATTTCTTCATTTAGGAATTGTTTAGATAAATACAGTTTTTTTCAACAGTTCCCCCAAGGGCATTATAACATCAGAAGTTTGGGATAAAGATGGAGGTTTTAAGAACAATCTTAAATGAGGAAAAAGAGACTGTGAGGTTGAGGGAAGGATATTTAGGGTTTAGTGTAAAAGAGCATGATAATAATGATAAGGAATTATAAGGGATGATAATAATCAAGGATACAGAAAAGGCTAGAGCTAAAGCCACCCAGAAATCTCAGAGGTTTGTTGCGCAGCGGAAGGTTACTGAGTTAAGGAAGGGTGAGATCGTGGAAAAGTTTGAGAACAAGGAGGACACTTTTTAAACTGTGGCATTGAAGTACTTACAGCCAATGTAGATTACTGAGCAATGAAATAATGGGTGAATTGGGACTTGGTGTGAGTTAATCTAGGAGCAGCAGGGATCTGAACAAGTTTCAGCAAAGTACAAGGTTAGTTGCTGGCTTGCGGTGTCTCAGTGAAACCATCAAAGAGCTAAAAGCACAGGACAGAAGTAGGATATAGTATGCCTCAGGGTAATTATTCAGCCAGTTTCAGGTCAGACCAAAAGTCAGTAAATAAACATGAATCTTCTGCTTTCTCAGGTTCTTGAAATGGATATTCTATTGCATCCAGGGGTGAGCCCAATATCCAGCGAAATTCTATGTGGTAGGCAAAGTTCAAGAAAGCTCAGATTATATTGAGAAGTATCAGCAGCTGTAAAGTTAAGCGAGTTTATTATTTTATCTGAGTATTTCAAAGAACATTCCTTGAAAATGGTCTCAACAATCTATTCAGCATGTGTTCTTAGATTACTCAGAATGTAACAAAAACCTTCTATCATCCCAATGCTTTAAATTTCCCATGGTGTGATATTAATTACACACATTAGTTGTACAGAATTTCAAAGCCTCCTGTACTGGAGCAATTTAAAGGGCAAGTAAAACTCATTCAAAGTGCTCTCGCTCTGTCATAAACAATATACCATTATGAAACTGACCGTACTAATCCAGAAAAATGTACCTAAAATTTTTAACTAATTCTAGGGATGTGGGCCTTATTGCTAGGCCAGCATTTACTGAGCATCCCTAGTGCCCTTGAGATGGTGAGCTGTCTTCATGAACCTCTGCAGTCCAGATAGGTAGACCTGTAGGTTAGGGAGGGAATTCCAATATTTTTGTCCCAGAGATAGTGAAGGAATGGTGGTATGATTCCAAGTCAGGAAGAGATGTGACTTGGAGGGAAACCTGCAGATGATGGTATTCCCATTTATCTACTGCTCTAGTGGAAGGTGCTGTCTAAAGTGGCTTGGGGAGCTGTTGCAGCGCATATTGTAGATGATACATGTTGCTGCCACTGTACAGAGACGGTGGAAGGTGTGAATATTGAAGTTGTTAAATGTGATGGTAACCATTTGACCTGAAATGGCATTGAGTTTCCTGAGTTGTCTAGGCAAGTGCAGAACATTCCATTACACACCTGGATTATGCCTTACAGATGGTGGACCAGTTTTGGGGAGACAGGATTCCTAAAAATTCCAAAAGAGAGTCACTGGTCTCAAAATGTTAGCTTTGTTTCTCCCTCCACAGATGCCGCCAGACCAGCTGAGCTTTTCCTGCATTTTCCCTTTTTATTAAATGTTGTGCTATTAATATCCAGATTCCAGCTTACCAAACTAACCAGACACCGAGAATTCACAGCAGCTACCTGACTGTGATTAGCCTTCATGTTACTCAGCGCCAAACAGCGTCTCAGGGTATAATCCCTGCACAGCAGCCTCAGGCACCTCTTGGCTCCTGTGGTCTCAACCATGCCCTGTATAACCAAAGCATAATCTCCCCTCATAATAAATTATGTCATTCTATTAGCTCTCCTAATTATTTGCTGTAGCTGCATACTAGCTTTTGTGATTCATGCACTAGGGCGCCCAGCTCCCTCTGCATCTCAGAGCTCTGCAATCTCTCACTATCTGGATACTATGCTTACTTTTTATTCTTCCTGCAAAAAAGTGGAAATTTCACATTTTACTCCATTTGCCAGATCTCTCCCCACTCACTTAACTTAAATCTATGACCCTGTAAAGTCCTTATGTCCTCTACACAGCTTATTTTCCGATCTATGAGCTTATTGTGGATAATTGTCTGGATGTGGTGACCTTCCACTAAATAAGCCAAACAAAGTCCAGTGACCCTTCTTCGAATGATGGCCAGGAAAAGGTGGTCTATGTGCTGAAGACGGGATACTGGGGGAGAAGGAATGTGCAAAAAGTGGAGATGGTGTCCAGACGGAGAGAAAGACAGTAGGCAGGCAAAGAGATGGATGATAGTTTGCCACAAAGAAAGAAAAGCTGGCAATAGGGACCATTAGAGGTTGAAAATGGGTTGGCTGTGCTGAAGTCAATGAGGTGTTTAGGCCCTAAAATTATTTAACTCGATATTGAGTCCTGAAGGCTGCAAGGTCCTCAAGTGGAAAATGAGATGCTGTTTTTCCAGCTTGCGCTGAGCTTCAATGGAGCACTGCAGCAAGCCTGAGACAGAGATGTTGGCCAGGGAACACGGTGGCATGTTGAAGCGGCCAGCAACAGGAAGCTCAAGATTTTTTTTGCAGACAGAACGTAGATGTTCTGCAAAGTGGTTGCCCAGTCTGCATTTCATCTCCCTAACTGTGAACAGCAAATACACTAGACTGAAATGAGTTAAGTGTAGGTAAATTTCTACCTCACCTGGAAGGTGTGTCTGAGGCCTTGGATACTGAGGAAGGAGGAGGTAAATGGGCAGGTACTACACCTTCTGCGGTTGCACAGGAAGGTGCCGTGGGGCTGTGGAGAGGTGTTGGAAGTGAAGGAAGAGTGGACCAGGGTGTCCCGGAGGAAACAGTCCCTGTGGAAGGCTAACAAGGAAGGGGAGGAGAATATGTGTCTGGTGTAGGCATCGCCCTGGATGTGGCAGCAATGGTGGCTAATGATCCTTTGGATGCGGAGGCTAGTGGGGTTGCAATTGATGATCAGAGGGACCCTATCGGTTGATGAACGGGAAGAGATGGGTGAGTGCAGAAGTGCAAGAAATGGATCAGACATGGCTATGGGACCTAGCTACCAATGTGCTGGGGAATCCTCAATTGAGGAAAATGGTTGACATTTCTGAGGCCACCCTGCAGAAATTAGAATCATCGAACAGATGTGACGGAGATGGAGAAACTGGGAGAATTGAATGGATCCGAAATGTTAACTCTGCTTTCACTCCAGAGATGCTGCCGGATCTGCTGAGTTTCTGCAGCAATTACTGTTCTTGTTTCAGATTTCCAGCATCCGGAATTCTTTGTTTGACTCATTTAGTGGAAGGTCACCACATCAAGACAAACATCCACAATAAGCTCATGGATAGCAGGCCTCGTTCACTAGTGAACTGACATTCTGGAAACATAGTGACAGCTGACTCATTGGTAGAGGCCAAAGAGGCAGTGCTTGAGGGTGAATAGGGAAGGAAGACGACAGGTAAAGCTCTGCCTTGAGGAATATCGTTGACAGAGTTGGATTGTGCAGCTGCAGCTGCTGGTCGTGAGGACTCCAGGAGACAAGTAGAGGGAGGCTAAAGACTTATTGATCTTAGAATATTGAAGGATAGAGTAGGGCCTTGGATGGATAGGTGCAGAGCTGGATGAACACAGCAGGCCAAGCAGCATCATAGGAGCAGAAAGGCTGACGTTTCGGGCCTAGACCCTTCATCAGAAA